GTGAAGATCGCCATGAAAAACGGCACATAGTCCCTATGACTAGGAACAATTTGCAGTCTCACCTCAAATGGTTGCTTGGTCAGGGCCCTTCACTCTACCAGTCTTTAACGCCTGCTGCTGGCGACAATCGCGACCCCACGAGCGGCCGGAGCCGTGCTGATACGCGACCGCCTCCGACGATAAATGCGGCGAATGATGAGATCGGAGATATTACGATTAGGGACTCGCAACCGGTGCTTAACGATAATGCTGGAAATCGGGAGGAATTAACACCCGACGACGATATGGCGCGACTGATGTTTGCTCCGCAATCTGCGAGCAAACCTCGTATGCTCAGCCGTGCTAAGAGCTCTCTTTCCAGCCCGTCGAGTGTCTTGAATGGCCCTGGGGCTGTCGAAACACCAAGAGCTCGGAAAGAGGCATTGCCGAAAAGTAATGTCACAGGTATGCTAGGAGGCTTAGTAGTGTGTTTGCGGGGAGTGTTGACTGACTTGGATTGAATTGGACAGAACAGCGTGATACGACTTCTTCCTTCCGTCATAGTAACAGGCCCGCTGCAACGCCCATCAAGTCGAATGATACGCTCAATCTAACCTCGCCACTGTTGGCAATCGACACTATTGATCTGACCGGCGATTACGATCGCGCTGGGGTTCCCGCAGGCGCGGGAGACGAGTTCGGCGAGCCTCGTCGGTTGTGGACTGAAGGGGCGGCTTTCCGCAAAGCTCCTGCTGATATACGAGGAAAGAAGCGAAAGAGTGACGAGTACACTTCAGATCTCTCTCCCCAGAAGAATGTCTCGAGGATTCGCTCGCCTGGGATGAACGAGAGGCTGGCCTCTCCTAGTCGGTCGAAGGCGGTGCACAAGACGCGTGCAACTCCCCTGCGATCAGCGGAACCCCCCACTAGTGACCGATCAAACGCCTCTCGGCCCCGAAGCCACGCCAGCAAAGTTATTGCCGACTCCGACGATGAAGAAGACGATACCCTATTCGACGAGCTAGTCAAAAGTGAGGATGAGATTATGCAGGAGCCGGAACAGCCGCTGTATCCAATCCTCCCAAAGGACGATCCCTTGGACGAACCGGAGAGTGAGAGTAGGCCCATGAAAAAGGAGAAGCGAAACTACTCCATACCGGACGTGGCTCGCGCTGCTTCGAGTGTCTCTCAGAGGTCAACGTTCGATGAAAGGCAACCGTCCGTTAGCTCCGTTCCCCCCTCCACGTCACCAGAATCCAGACCAAGAGACGAGGATGTTGCACGGTTTTTAAAGCTTCCGCTGGAGTTGCTTGAGCAACGGATTGCGAACCTCAAGAACACTCTTACAAGCAACTCGGAAATTGTTTACCAACAGGCAATGAAGGGTGAGCTAACCCCAGAGTTGATTTCTGAGAATAAGATTCTCACAGATCAAATCGATGCAATTGAATCGCTGAAGAAGCAGAGGGTAGCTTACTATGCTAGCGAATCCACAAGGGAGCAGCTGAAAGGGGTTCTGATGCGGGTGATCTCTCAAGGTGGCGACCCTCGTTCATTGCCAGACGAGCTTGCCAAGAATAGAAAAGCTACAGCGCAATTGGACGAGCTTGAAGCGGATATGAAACGTCTAATCATGTCTGCCGACCTATTTTCACCCACGGGCTTGCCGAACATGAACATGCTGGAAAGTGGTTTCACCCGACCTTCTCTGTCTTCGCCTCGGGTTTCCTTTACGGGGTCTTCATACGCAGATAACGAAAGGCGACCTAGAAACGAGCCCTCGGCTTATGAATCAATCCGCAGGAGTCCTGCAAAACCAAAACCAAACCACAGTGTCTCCCGCACATCCGTTCCTGAACTTTCCTTTCAGTCTTCGTCTAGAAAAACCAAAGAAACACCAACTTCCAACCTCTTTGATTATGATGATGTTATGGCGACCGATGACGGCTTTGATGACGATGCATTCACCAGAACCATGGGGTCTCCTGCCATGGCACCCCGGGCTATAGATGAGTTCGATCTGAGTGCCGACGACGATGATATGCTGGAAGCTGCAATTTCCATCCAGGATGATCTACCAGCGTCCGATCTGGAGGTGCAAGATCGAAAAGTTTTCGCCGAAACCTCGGGGAATGCCGCACGCTTACCCTCAACGCAAAAATCTCAAAACCACAATGCCCTTTGGCATCAGCACCCTTGGTCGAAGGAGGTGAGAACCGTCCTTAAAGATCGCTTTCACCTTCGCGGTTTTCGAATGAATCAACTTGAAGCCATCGATGCAACGTTGAGCGGGAAGGACACGTTTGTCTTGATGCCGACAGGTGGAGGGAAGTCTTTGTGCTACCAGCTTCCCTCCATTGTGACTACTGGATCTACTCAAGGAATGACGATTGTGATTTCACCGTTGCTCAGCTTGATGCAAGATCAAGTTTATCATCTACGTAAACTCGATATTAAAGCATTCTTGTTGAACGGAGAAACCCCCAAGGAAGAGCGACAGGAGATAATGGGCACACTGGCGGGTTACCGAACTGGGGAGCCAATTGAGTTATTATACATCACCCCAGAAATGGTGAACAAGAACCAAGCTCTTATCCGAAACCTGCAGAAACTCAATGACTCCCGCCAGCTGGCTCGCATTGTCATTGACGAGGCTCATTGTGTCAGTCAGTGGGGACATGACTTTCGTCCTGATTACAAAGAACTGGGCGAACTCAGATCTCAGCTACCAAACGTTCCAATGATGGCATTGACCGCTACTGCGACGGAGAATGTAAAGGTCGATGTCATTCATAATCTCAAGATGGAGGGCTGTCAAATCTTCTCGCAGAGCTTTAACAGGCCAAATCTCTTCTACGACGTGCGGCCTAAGAAAAAGGGCGCCGAGCTCCTTGCCAGCATTGCCAATACAATCATGTCGAGTTATCGGAACAAGTCTGGTATTGTTTATTGCCTTTCGCGCGATTCTTGCGAGAAGGTTGCAAGCCAGCTCAAGCAGGACTATGGCATCAGGGCCGAACATTACCATGCGGGCCTAAAGCCCGACCAGCGAGCCAATGTACAGCAACGCTGGCAATCTGGACAATCTCATGTCATTGTTGCGACTATTGCTTTCGGCATGGGTATCGACAAGCCCGATGTGCGCTTTGTGATCCATCACAGCCTTCCAAAAAGCCTTGAAGGGTACTATCAAGAAACAGGACGTGCTGGTAGGGATGGCAAACGGTCCGGCTGCTATATGTACTACTGCTACAAGGATACAATGACCCTCAACCGCATGATCGACAGCGGCGATGGCAGCAAGCAACAGAAGAACAGACAGCGCCAAATGCTACACAATGTGGTGCAATTTTGCGAGAACAAGAGCGACTGCCGGAGAGTGCAAATTTTGGCCTACTTCAACGAATATTTCCGTCGCGAAGACTGCAACTCTGCCTGCGACAATTGCAAGTCAGATTCCGTCTTTGAGCTACACGACTTTTCGCACCTTGCCGCCTCTGTGATTAAGATCGTGCGTTATTTCCAGGACATAGATGACAGAGTGACTTTGTCATACTGCGTGAACATGTTCCGAGGGAGCGTCAAGAAGTTTAGGGCTCCCAACCACAGACAGGCAACTGGCTACGGCGATGGGTCTTCATTGGAACTGGGAGAGGCCGAGCGTCTGTTCCACCGACTGCTCAGCGAAGGTGCGCTATACGAAGAAAATGTGGTCAACGGTAGTCGATTTGCTGTTCAGTATATCAAGGTCGGGCGGCGCTGTGCGGAGTTCGAAAGCGGCAGGCGCAAGCTTGAACTCCATGTCCGGGTTTCACCGAACGGGAAGGTCCAGAAATCTCGAGCTACGTCAAAGAAGGAGTACCATCCGCAGTCTACAAACGTGTCTTCGCCTGTGCAAGCGGCAAATAAACGCCGTTTGGCCCGTTACCGGTACGATGAAGCTCAGGGCGCCTCCGATACTGAACGGGACAGTGATGGGTTTGAGAGAATCCGAGTCGCGGGGAAGCAACGACGAGAGAAGAAACGATCGCCTGGTCCGCCAATCACCCAAGATGTCCGATTTGACCGACTTGATCCTCTTCACAAGGCCGTTGCAGAAGATTTCATGGTTTATGCCAAAAATTACTGTCAAGAGGTATGTCATATTGACCTCACTACATCGCATACAGAAGCTAACTTGCCTGCGCAGCTGATGATCAACAAGGGTTTGCGGAACCAGCCTTTTACGGATACAGTGTTGCGTGAAATGGTTATTGTTTTCCCTAGAGGTAGGTGGAAATTTGAGCCTCTTGATTTTTATCAAGACTTTAGTGCTGACGTTGGCATAGACTTCGCGGAACTAGGTACTATCCCGGGCATCGATCCCGACAAGGTGAACCGTTACGGAGGTCAAATCTTGAAGCTTGTGCGAGACACGCAGCGTCGATATGCGGAACTCAAAAAGGAACGTGATGACGTTGACGGCGTCGTCCCTGACCCCAATCATCACAACGTCATCAACCTCACGAGCAGCGAAGAGTTCAGCGACGGTGGCATCTTTGACGACCAAGCATCGACCTTCGAACTGGATGAGGAAAACACCATTGCTAGTCGATACTTCTCCACCCAGGCTGTCGACGACGACAGTGACGATTATGGTGGCTCTCGTCGACCGACTTCCAGGGCTAGCAGTTCCAAATCCAGACCGCGCCAAGGTGGTAAGCGTTCGCGGCGCAAGTATACCGATGACTCGAAACCCCGGGCCAAGACCTCCCGGTCTAAAGGAAGCAGTAGCGGTCGTGCCAGCGGCCGCGCGTCTGGCTCTCGAAAGGCCCCCAAGGCGAAAGAGACCACGAGCAAAATAGGAATGATGCCTATATGATGGTTGTTTATGTTTGTCCAATGTCGATGGAGTTAATGTTATATCCCAAGCCTGCTTGTTGCTTTTGAATGGTCGGTTGCATATATAGGCGTTTTTTTGTGTTTCTGTCACGGTTTCGTTATGACCTTTATCTTTTTCTTTTTGGCGGGCGAAGTGGACGTGTCGACTCGTTACTGGACTACTGCACTCGAGGATGGTGGCCTGGAGGGATACCAAGTATCAATGTGAACTGCACGGCGTCTTACGCCTGGAGGTGTTTCCTGTGGCATAATTTACACTGGCATGATTAATCTTATCACAACGTAATAGCAGACTTATATTCAGTCGTCCAAGGCGCGCGCAAAATCAATTAGTCTGAGTCTCCGGGCATCGCGAGGATGGAATTGGGCGACCTTTGCCCGTACAAGGAATCTAGACGCGGCCGATTCACGCGGCAGGTCGATGTAAGAGGAGCCGGCATCGAGCAACGCGTCCAGGAGCTCATGGATCTCCGTCGCCGCAGCCTCCCGCCTGTTCGACAGATGGCTTCCAATCTGGCCCGACTGACGATTGAGAAGCTCATCGATGCGACGCTGGTTGGTGTTCGGGCCCTCTGTGTCCAATGCTTTGGGTTTCTTTGGTTTGCCGTGGCTCGTATAGCCCGCATTTAACGTGGTATCGGAAATGTTGAAAACATCTCCCACCGTTGGCCCCCCCAGGTTTTCCGCTGCTACCATCGGCGCAAGGGACTCGTCGACGAACTTGTGGAGGGAGGCCCGCAGATCATCTGTCGCCTTGTCGATCTCGGCTTTCTTCGTTTCCTGGGTGCTGATGACTTCGCGCGCCAGTTGCGACGGCGATTTTTCTTGCTTTTGCGAAGCGTCCCGTCGAATATTCTCGATCCTGCGTTGGAGCCCGTCTCTGATGGACTGCGCGTCGCGCAAATTGGCCTCTTCCACCTTGAGACGCTGGCGATCAAGGGATAGTTTTTCCGCTGTCATTGAGATGGACGTTCTGCTCTCTCTCACCAGGCGTATGGTCTCTTCGAGGGCCAAGAGAGATGGAAGGGGAGACCCCGGTTTCGGCAGCTCAGTCCCCGATTTGAGGAGAGAGTCATAGGCCTTCTTTGCTCGTCGCACTTGGGAGACGCGCGACCATGGATCTGACTCCATTTTGGCGAGATCAACGGAGTTGACTTCTCGAAGCTGAGGCGTAGGTCAACATTTATGCTCTGCCCGCGGGGTTCTTGCGGGGCTTTACCTTGCGCAGGTCTTTCTCATGGCGCCGGACTCGATCTTGGAGCTGTCGCAACGTATCATCCAGTTTACTATTATATGCTTGCACATTGGAGATATTCAAGGATTGTTTGTTGTAGGTTTCTTCGGCTTCCTGGCGCCTCTCTGAGAAGCGTTGGATGCGCTCCACGGTCTCCTGCGAGACATCCATGGCGCGTCGCGATATTGACACCGGTGATCTCCCTGCCGGTTAGGTTGGGTGCTGTATTTTTAGACGACAGGCGACAGTCTCAATTCCGTTAATTGACAGCAAGACAACGCACGCGCAATGGATGCAGAGGGAAGGGCGAGTATCAAATCCCCAGATCAACAACTCGGCCGCCGATGCCTGGGCACGTGACGCCGTCGGGCCTGATGCGGCACCGAAAGCGGACTAGCGCGGCCCCGTGCCACCGACTCGACTTCAACCTCACTTCTTCCCCATCTCCGTCCTCACCATCAGACCATCCTCTTCAACCAACGACTCCAGGACCTTTTTTATCCGATCAAGGTCTCCTCTGCTGTCTCTGCTATCTCTCTACCTCCGGGTTGAGTTTTTTTTGGTCTGTTGTAAGGACAAGTTGAGGTCATCGTCTTGACTCAGACCGCATCCGCGTTCACCCCCGAGTTTTCCAAGTCTCCTATTTGGGCATCAGCGTGACGGACTTCTGAGTTGTATCTCGTGGATCTCGAAGACGTGTTCTCTAGGCGAGGGTAATTTAGGATTGGTTGTGGCTTTCATCCAGGACTTGCTTTTTTGGTCTCATCTTCCATTCCACGTTCACCTCTCCCCTGCTGGCAAACCAGCTTATCAAACATCGCCCGGACCCTGAATCCTCTCCATCACCACTATCATCGTCCAGCACACAATCCTCTCTTCCGTCTGATCGCTCCCGAATCCGAAGAACTTCTTCTTTTCTCCTTGCCTATACACTATCCCTGCTTTGCACGCGCGAAGCTCTCTGATCCAGCACAAGGCCCGTGTCCTCCCAGCATTTGCACATACTTCCGCCGGCCCTTCTTTCCAACATCACTTCCTTCACTGTCCTCGAACTATCACCAGCCTCCCCAGTCATTTCAAGCACCAACACTTCCCTCTCCAGTCGGTCGCCAGCACCAGCAAGTTTTATTTGAACTCCTGGTGTACATAGTCGATCCAAATAAAGGCAGACAAGAAGAAAAGAACAAAAAGAAAGAAGAACAATTGTGTTTATCTGACCCTTCGACTTCCTGCGTAAGTGAAGCAAATCTGCACAGTTTGAAATCATGTCGGCATCTCCATCTGCGTTGCAATCGACCAAGCGTCCTCTGGAGGACCCTTCCTCGCCTTCCGGCCCCAATGACCAACCGGAGGCCAAGCGCCCCGCCTTGGACAAAGTAGTAAAGGGTGATGATTCGGAGGCCTACGCCGATGTCAAGACCGAAGCTGCCGGTGCCCCCAGCGGGAACGCCGATGGCCAAGGTGACACGGTGGTTCCCGACGCCCCCAATTCCAAGGGGCCTTCGTCGGAAACCCAGCCCATCCAGTCCACCGCCTCTCACACCGAGACCGGTGGCAGTGAGGAAGACCAGCAGCGTCCTCAGGACGAGTCCAGCTGGGTTCACATCCGCGCCGTCATCTCCAGCCAGGAAGCGGCCACGGTAATCGGTAAGGGTGGTGAGAACGTGTCTCAGATCCGTCGTCTGTCAGGTGCCAAATGCACCGTCAGCGACTACTCGCGTGGCGCGGTGGAGCGTATCTTGACGGTGAGCGGTCCACAAGATGCGGTCGCCAAAGTAAGTCCCTTCACTGGATGATTTCCCCCGGGTGGATCAGCTGCTAACAGGACTGGCCAACTAGGCCTTTGGTTTGATCATCCGTACCCTGAACAACGAGCCCCTTGATTCTCCCTCCACTGCCCAGTCCAAGACATATCCCTTGCGTTTGTTGATCCCCCATCTTCTCATTGGTTCGATCATTGGCAAGGGTGGGAGCCGGATCCGCGAGATCCAGGAAGCGTCCGGCGCGCGGCTCAACGCCTCCGACGCCTGCCTTCCCCTGTCCACCGAACGGTCTCTGGTGATCCTGGGTGTAGCCGATGCCGTGCACATCGCCACCTACTACGTCGCCGTGACCCTGGTCGAGCAGCTGACGGAGCGCTTCGGCGGCCCTGCGGCCTCCGCCTATGCCACCCGCAGCGGTGGCCCCGCCGGCGCCGTGCCCGGTGGCATGCAAGTGGTGCCTTATGTGCCGCAGCCGGTGGGTGGCCAGTACGGCCATCCGGACACCTTCAAGCGCCATCACCCCCATCCCAACCGCGCGGCGGCGGGTTCCTACGGCGTTCCCTACCTGCACGGACAGCCCGCTCCCGCCCCTGTCGCTCAGCCGGCCATGCCCTACGGTGCCGCCCCGCACACCCCGTACGCCGGCGCCGGGCCGCACCAACCGGCTCCCTACGGCACGCCGCAGCCGGCACAGGCCCGTGGTGGCCCTGCCCCCGTTGCCCCCGTGGGTGGAGCCCTCCCCGGTCAGCCGCTAACCCAGCAGATCTACATCCCCAACGACATGGTGGGAGCCATAATCGGCAAGGGCGGCGCCAAGATCAACGAGATCCGCCACCTCAGCGGCAGCGTGATCAAGATCAACGAACCCCAAGAGAACAGCAACGAGCGCTTAGTGACCATCACGGGCACCCAGGAGTGCAACCAGATGGCTCTGTACATGCTGTACTCGCGACTTGGTGAGTAACTCTCTTCCTTGCTATTCTACTTTTACATAGCTAACAAAACGATTTCCAACAGAGAGCGAAAAGCACCGCATGTGAGCGTGCGACGTCTCGTCAACGTAGGCTGCTCTCGAGGACAGCTTCCAGGTTTAATCCCCAAAAGTCTTTGTTTAGGGCGGCCGGGTGATTTTCTCACGCAGTACCATTTCGTTTTCGGGTAAATCTTGACGTTGTACTTTATTGAAAAGCGTTTTTATCCTAGCCTAATCAATACATTACTTATGGTTTCTTATCATCAAACCTCTCCTTCCTCCTTTATCAACATTACACCCCATATACAAACTGAAGAAACCCCCCCCAAAAAAAAACTAAAAAAAAAAAAACTAAACCTTCCTAAAAGAAACATGCATCATCCCCAACCCCGGCGCTGTCCCCAACATAGCCTCCCTAATAGGCTTAATCCCCTCCGCAAACGCCTCCGTCTTCTTAGCCTCCAAATGCGCCTCGACACTAGGCCACCCCACAACAAGCAAATACACCAGCGCCTTGCCCGTCGGACTCTTCTCCATGGGAACCGTCCCGGGCCTCTCCACATACCCCATCGTCCAAGACGTCGGGCGCTGGCCCTCCGGTAGCGCCGACGACCCCGTCAGCGTCGAGCGGAAGTGCACCAGGTTGCAGCTGAGCTTGGTTTGCTGCGCGGGGGGCAGGCCGCTTTCGAAGGCGAGAGCGCACAGCTCCGTTACGGGGTTGTCGGTTAGGGTCCCGGTTGTGTGGATTGGGGGGGTCACTGTTGCGTAGACGGCTTGGATGTGCGTGTCGGGGGGGACGAAGGGTTTGAGGTAGGTTAAGTTTGTGCCGGCGTAGATGTCGGTCCATTCTATTATCCGTAGTTAGTATGTGGTTTCTTGTAATACTGCGTATGTGGTCGGATATGGACGATTGAATCAATGGTGAAGAGGTGAAACAGATATAAGATAGAAAATACACACCAACAACCCAAACAATCACGCTCTCATCCTCCACGGAGCGACCCCACGCCGAGCTCCGATACGCACATTGCGCTTTGGCAGCTTCGAAAACCCGGAGCAGGGCGTAACCCTCGTCGCTGTTGGGGTCTTCGGGCTTCACGGTGGGTTCCACGCGGAAGTAGATGAACTCGCTGACGGTGTTCATCACGTCGTCCGTTGCGTCCATTGCTGCGGGGATGTTATGCGGTTTGATAAGATGGATATGTGTGGCTGTGAGGATCTAGAATTGGATTGTGTTCGTGGAAGACGGGGTGGGATAATGGCTATGTATGTGTTGGAGTGTTGTCGACGCAGAGAGAGAATGGTTGATGTCACTGTGGTTGATGATGTCACTTCCCTTGAATTAATCAGTTGTCAACATTGAATACGTATGCTATGCCCCCTTCTCCTTTGTAATAAATATGAGCAAATGGATACTACGCACAGCTTTCTCGTTGTAATTCAGCAGTGGGCTATGTACAGAAAGCGCTATCCAAACTGAATCGCATCAATCAACTAAAGAACTACCAGTTGAAACCCGCCATGACCCGCTGTTCAAACTTCATACAAATCGTAAAACCACAAGGAAATAAACTTGAATAATAATAATAATAATTGGATAATCCTACATTACTGTTCGTCCAGTCCCCGGACCCTGGTTTTCTTTTCCTCGATTGCCTTCTTCAGGTTCCCGACGAGAGCCTGTCGCCGCTGCGTCTTGGCCTTCCACTGCGCGCTCTCCTGTCTGCTGACTAGATCGCTCGCGCCCTCGAAGGCGCGAAGACGGCTGGCTCGGGCTGAGCCGTTGATGCTCGAGCGGAAGTTGAGGGCCCGTTTGGCGGATTCCGGGGTGTGGTATGCGGTGCCGGGGCGATCAATGGAGCCCCGAGACCCGGGTGTCGCAGGGAACTTGCCCACGCCTTTCTTCGGCGTCGTGAATGGGGACCCTTCGCGAACCGCGGGAGTCGCATACGTGTCCACGCCCAGCTTCTTCAGCTGAAGCTCCAGGAAGTCGATGTCGCTGCTCTTGGCCTCCGCCATGTTCATCATCGTGCCGATGGTGGAGACCACCGCCTCGACAGTCGGCCGTTTTCTCGATCCATTTCCGGCACCGTCAGGTCGCGGCGCATCCGCGATCTTGGCCCGTAGAAGCGATACGGCGGACTCCAAGTCAGCCAGCTTCGCCTGGATATCCGTAGAAGCCGTCCGTAGGTCCTGCTGGAGGTTGGCCTGTTCAGCGGACAGTGGCGCAGAAAGGATTGCGGTGGAATCGGTATGAGCATCAAGGGTCTTTCGAATGCTGGCGCACTGAGCGCGCAGCGCGAGGATGTCTTTGCTTAATAGCGTCCGGCAACTCTCCAGTTTCTCTTCCACACCCTGCACCCGTTGCTTCTGCAGAGAGCCAGCGAGTTTGGCAACCACGTCATCAAGCTTCTCTACTTCAGCGAGACGGAGTTCTTCGTCTAGGGCATCCGCCGGGTGTTCCCCTTGCAAGATATCCACCCAGTCAGATCCGCTAGGAGATTGCTGGTAGAGGAGAAACGAAGACAAAGACCGAGTGTTGATCCCCAACGTATCGACCATGGAGTTTATATCTCGGTAGAGCTTTTCGATCTGCCCCGGAATGCCTGGTTTGCTCGTCTGCCCGGCATAGTCCTGGTGGGGTAAGAAAGGATCCAAAGTGGGCACTGGCTGGATGGGCTGGGCAAGGTCGGCATGGAGCCTTTCGTCTTCGTCGTCATCAGACAGCGACAGGGCTTCCTCCTCTTGTTGCCTGGCTTGGGCATCGAACCGAGCCTTCTCTTCCCGGGACACGCGATCGAGCTGGGGTGCCAGCTGATTCTCGCGTTTCGCGACCTCGGTAAGAGAGGCTTTGCGCGCAGCAAGCGTGCTTCCTGGCGGGTGCGCAGCCTTCGGCTTTTGGTTGCTTGGCTGGAGGAAGCTTTTCTGTGAACCCCGACGCATGGGACTGATCGGCCTGGATGGCGGTTGTTTGGCGCTAGGTGCGGGAGGGAACGAGGGTTTGTTAATCTCCCCGAATAGCGGTCGCGATGGCTGTTGCTGTTGCGATGGCTTAGGAGCCTGCCCAAACAAACCTCCAGCGGGGCCCTTTGTGGACGCACCGCCGAAAGGGCTCTCAGTTGAAGTCTTTGGACTTTCTGGTTCCGACTCTTGTTCGTCATTGCTGATCTCGTGGGTGATTTCTTCCCCACTGTCAGAAAACCCAGATTCGTCTTCCTCGCCATCGCTTCCTTCCCTTTCGGATTCATCGGCGTCTGACTCATCGGGAACTGGGCCAGGTTCTCCGGACGGCGTAGTAGGCGATGGAGGCGTGGCGGGCTCTGAGGGCAGGGGCGCCACTTCGGCGGCAGCCTTAGAATCATCCTTGGGCGTCTTTGTAAAATCCGGTGGTAGAGGCGGCTCTCCTCCAGCCGGTTTTGTGAAATCGGGTGGCAGAGGAGCATCATCCACCGAGATCTTGGAAACATTTGACGATGCCGATGTGTCTCCAGGTCCGTACGCGTCCCTGCTGGTTGAGTCGGGGGGCAACGGGGGTTCGATCATCGACGAGACTGGAGAAGTTTGGGTCTCTGTCGGTTGTTCTCTGGGGCTGGCGATTGCCGTCTTCTCAGAAGGTGCGGAAAGGGGGCTCGTGGGTTTCTCGGGAGCAGCGTTTCCAAACAAGGAGAAGGGCTTGCTTGGCTGAGCCTGCCCAAAAGGTTGCTGATTTTGCGGCTGGCTGCCGAAGAGAGACGGTCCGACCGACGTTTCAGCTTTAGACGGGGCACCGAAAGGAGAAGGCGCCGACGGTTTGGATTGCACGGTCTCTTGCTGCGATGTGGCCGGTGTGCCAAATAAAGAAGGTGCTGGCTGTTTGGGCTCTGGCTTTTCTGGTTCTGACGCTGCGGGTTCGTCCGCCCCGTCATCCATCGCTTCCGACGTAGGACTGGTCTTGGTAGGCGTAGCGACCATATCATCCAGCCCACCCATGGAAAACAAGCCAGAGGACGGCTTCTCCGGTTTGGGGAGGTCATTGACAGAAGTACCATCGCCCTTGAATGTAGACTCCAGCTTAAAGCCGCTGGGGCCCATACCAAAGGCACCCTTTGACTCTTCGGTTTTTTGAGGACCGAAGGCCGAGCTTGTATTCGTCTGGCCTCCAAAGGGCGATGGCCCCGACGGCTTCCCGAATGGGCTTGCGGTCGACGGCTTACCGAATGGAGACTCGGTCGACGGCTTACCAAAGGGAGACTCAGTCGACGGCTTGCTGAAAGGCGAGCCACCAGCGGCTTTAGCAAAGGGGGATTCGCCAGACGGCTTTGCGGCACCAAAGCCACCCCCACCCGAGTTTGCAAATGCCCCAAAGCCACCCCCAGAAGCCGCAGCAGGCGACGCAAAAGAGCTGAAACCCTTTCCAGGCGTCGAAGGTTGCCCGAAGCTTGATCCCGTGCTCATCGACGCGAAGCCAGGCTTCCCGAATGGTGAGGCGCTGGCGGTTTGGCCCAAGGAGCTGGCGGCGCCAAACCCGGGCTGCGCCGGTTTTCCGAACGCAGGAGCACCGCCTCCAAGCGAGGGTGTCCCAAAGGCCGGTTTCTGAGCACCAGCCAAAGCCGAGGGGGCACCAAAAGCCGGTTTCTGGGCACCGGCCAAAGCCGAGGGGGCACCGAATGCAGGTGCAGCGGAGGGCTTACCAAATGGAGACGTGCCCCCCAACGCGGACGGGGCCCCAAAGCCCGACTGCCCAAATGCCGATTGTTTGGCGGCCGCGGGCTGAGCGGGAGGCTGCTGTTGTTGTGGGGATTGCAGCTGTGGCAGCTGTGTGCTGGCAGAAACCATGCCATGGTACGGAATTTTCTGGCGAATGGACTCGGAATAGATGAACCACCAGGAAGACAGGATTCCATCATTGCTGAGGAGCAACAGGTTGGGCAACGGAGTCGAACTCTCGGTGATATCTTCACCTGCGATGGGAGAGACGACGATGTCGGTGCTGGAAAAGTCCACCCCTAAACCAATGACGGAGGTTTCATCGCCGGAGTCTTTCAGAGGAACTGATGCCCTCTTTGTATCGTCGTTCACTTCAGTCATAGCGAACTGCCCTACGGCGGCCTTTGCGCTATCATCACTCGCCAGCGGGGCATCTGATCTTGTGATCAGGCCCACATCGGTGGATGCTGTTGAGGATGCAATCAGGACGTCCTTGAGGTGTGGCTTGTAGTCCCTGATGCGGGCAAAGAACTGGTATGCGGGTGCACGCTTGAGACCAAATGGCGTACATAACTCGGGCAGTTTCTGGATCAAGAAGGGGGCTCCCTTCCTTCGAGTGATGATGTAGTATGATGACGAGGGTGTTTGGCCGTCCTCATCCTCCATAGCATTGGGAGTGTACACCATTAGGAAGACATCGTTTTCAAGCCATACGATAGAGGACACTGTACGAAGTTGTCAGCGATGAACAGGCACCTTCTGGGATCATTCGGTAGGAAACGTACCGTGGCAATCGCCCTCAAGATCCGAAGGGCGGGGTATCACGTCCTTCTGCGCGCCTTCAGGCGTCATCTGAAACCCTGTGCCATCTGCCAGTCCAGCAACGAGTTGTTTCCCTTTGTTACTCCAGCAAACGGAGCTCACACCACTCTTCAGCACCTGACCGTTCGGACCTGAAAGCAGGTTACCCGCCTTGAGATCCGCAATCAGGAGCTCGCCCCCGGTCGTTACCAGTGCGACCAGCGAGGAATGAGCTTCACTCGCAGGCGCTGGATTCGGAGCAAGTGCGCGAAAGGTAGCGCCGTTCGTCGCGATGGACAAAGCCGGCTGCGCATTTCCCGCCGTCAAGCTGGCCGTCGGGAAAACAGACAGCTGGGCCCCATTCTCCGTAGCCAGCACCAAGGCCGTTTCGCCCGATGCGAAGGCAATATGCGTCGGTCGTCCAGGGAGGGGTATCTTCGCTTGCGGCTCGAACGGCTTTGTCTTGACCTTGCTCTCTCCGGTGGATGCGGAAATCGCCTTCCGCACGGCATCCGACGACGCGATCACCAGAGCATCGGGTCCGGCACCAGCCACCACACCCTGCGTCGGTGCGATTGCTAAGAGATTACTCGTCGGAGCGGGAAGGGCGTCATCGGGCCAGGAAGTAGGAAGTAATCGAACGTTGCTATCGCTGGAGACACCTTTAAAGCCGACTTCCTGTCGCAAGAATTAGCAAACTTGGTGCGACCACCCCACCGACCTTCCACATCAGCTCCACATACCTCCGCATAGAGATCAGGAAGTTCCGGGCCTAATTCGGCTGCAATATTGCCCCCGGCGGGTTTGGGGGCCCCGAAGCTGAAGGCCATTCTCAGTCGGTCGTAGTCGGCTGGAAATCGAACGCGGACGATCGCCTTAGGATAGTCGATTCTTTAGAGCATGGGGAGAAGGCGACTACTCGGTATCGAGGTAAAGGAGCGACGCTGGCGTGCTTGGGGACTCGGGTTGAAGAGCTACCCAGTGCGCGCAAAAATCTTGAAGCCTTTCTTCCCTCAAGGGAGGAAAGCGTCGGATATTCGAGCGTGTTTGAGACGAATCGCCGAACGAGAGCTCAATGAAGAAATGGTATCAAGTCGGGAATGAGAATAAAAGAGAACAAGTGGAGTGCTCAACACCACCTGGGAAGCTGAAGGGTGATTGCGACCGAGGAGGACAATGAAGATTATTTGATGGTTGGAGCAAAAACAGTCCAGCAGTTTAAGGCGGTTAAGGCAGCGGCTGGTCCGGGCGGAGCGGATGCCTGAGGCGGTCAACGATCAGGCGGCGGGAGCTTCGTCACTTCCAGCTCCAACCTCATCATTGTCCTCCACTCTTCTCCAACCCTCATTGCTTCTGTCCACCTCCCATCTCGCTCTCTCGTGCTGTCCTTGCATTGGTTTCCTTCACTCGATACTTACCGAATATTCCTTTCTCTCCCTAATCCCGAACCGTCACCATGGGTGGCTTCGATTTCTCCAACTACAACCGCAACAACGTGCTTCACGCTAAGGGCGTGCCTCTCCCCAAAGCCACCAGCACAGGTACCACGATTGTGGGTTGTGTCTTTGACAATGGCGTTGTGGTATGTTGATTGGAACCTTTCAACAAACTGGATGATAACTGACGTCGTGACAGATCGCAGCAGATACCAGAGCCACCAGCGGCCCCATCGTAGCAGACAAGGTACGTCGCCCTATCAATCCTCACCCAACACAAGAATCCCCCAACTAACGTCTCCGGTTACGAAAAACAGAACTGCGAAAAGCTGCACTACATCGCCCCCAAGATCTGGTGTGCCGGCGCTGGCACAGCAGCCGACACGGAGTTCACGACGGCGCTAATCAGCTCTAACGTCGAGCTGCACTCGCTGTCGACGGGCCGACCGCCGCGCGTAATCACCTGCATGACGATGCTGAAGCAGCACCTCTTCCGATACCAGGGTCACATCGGCGCATACCTGGTCGTCGCGGGCGTGGACCCGACCGGCACGGGTCTGTACACGGTGCACGCGCACGGGTCCACAGACAAGCTTCCCTACGTGACGATGGGGTCTGGCTCGCTGGCTGCGATGTCGGTGTTTGAGTCGACGTGGAAGCCGAACTTGAACCGCGAGGAGGCGATCGCGTTGGCGTCGGAGGCGATCAAGGCTGGTATCTTCAACGACTTGGGCTCCGGTAGTAATGTTGATGTCTGCGTTATCGAGAATGATAAGCCGACTGATCTGCTGCGGAACTATATGAAGCCGAATGAGCGTGGCCAGAAGGCTCGCAACTATCGCTTTGAGAAGGGTACTACTGCTTGGGTTAGCCAGAAGGTTGTTACCAAGGAGGATATGCGGAAGTATGTCACTGTTGAGGAGGTCTCTGGGGATCCGAACTTGATGGAGGTGGACTCGTGAATGGTGGGTTACAGGGTAACGAAGTAGATTAATCGGGTTATACGCTTTGTTTCTGCACTTGGACGAATGAGAATTCTCACATCATGGCCATCATGTCTCTGTATTTGAATCTGTAGAATCCGGAACACGTGACGCTACACTTCAGGCTGTACCCAAGGTATAATAAGGATATCATAAGGTCAAACGATCTACCTATACATTGAATCAAAGGTATTTTTATCTATATACAATTGCACCCGAAACATTACTCCATGATCTCCTCATCCCCAAGCCCACTCCGCCCTACCTGAGGGCTCATAAGCTCCGCCACAACATCCACCCCCTCCGTATCTCTCACCAACGCCATAATAAACGCATACTGCGTAGCCGAGACGCGACGGCCCTCTCTCCGAAACCGCATGACCCCAGCATGGTACATCGCGCGCACAAGCGCTGGTTTAACCGGTGCCTCGTGCCTCACGAGGAACACATACAGCCAGTGGACGAGCTTGTACGCGCAGCGGGGGCTGAACTGCGAGGAGCAGGAAATGGAGATGGCGAGGGAGTTGATCATTTCGAGAGCGGCTTGCGGGTTTGGGCAGGAAGAAGTAGTCCTGGGGGTGGGGGGTGCTGTGTCGGGAGTAGGAGGGGTGACTTCCCACGACATTGAGAGGGCGATTTTGAGAGGTGTGTGGGAGCGGAAGATGCGGAGGAGGGTCCACACGCTGTGTGAGTCGCCTGTGCGGGCGAGTTCGATGCTGTGCGAGATGAATGAGGGGTTGGTGATGTCTATCTGCTGGACGGCTTCTTGCAGGGCGGAGAAGAAATGAGGAGCGACTGCGTTGTAAGCGTGCACGTCTGCGAAAATCTCGGCGAACGAGACTGGAGGCGATTCCATTGCCTTGAGCGTTCGGCGGGCTGTTGGCGTGAGAGTCTTATGGAATCGGAGTTGGGATGCCATCAGTAGCAGGCCGTTGGAAGGCAGGCCTAGCTCGTGGATCGCCCGCATCAAAGTGGGTAAAAAGTCTTTGGTGGGAACTTTGCCGATGGACTGGTAGAGATTGAACAGGTCGCATGCAGGTGCATCACTTGCCCGCGGCGCCCGTCGCCAAAGTGGCCCTTCCGGAAGGTTTCTGCTGAGTGTCCGTAGTAGCCAGAGGCGAAGGACAATCTGATGCCGGGGTGAGAGTCCAGGCGCGGCGGCCGTTTGGTTTTGGACTTCGGTCCACCGTTGTGCTTTGACGAGGGCCGAAATATCACCAAGCTTTAGCAAGCAATCCTGCCATCTGCCCAGTAAATCTGCTCTTTTGGACGATATGAGCGATTCAGTTACACCGATGATGTATTCCGATGCAGCTTCCGGCAAAAAATGCTGCAGGATCTTGACCCCATGGTTTTCTGAGCCCGTTTCCGTATGAAGTTCCAGCTCCCGTGTGATGAACTCCACTACCCAGGGACAGTCGAGCAAGTCAGGGCATTGAGTCGCCACGATTATATCCTTCGCCAAGCCGAAAGATTCACATCCAGTCTCGTCTTCAAGCGCACCAAGCCACGCGTCAACAATCGCACTGTCGAGGTCTTTATGTCTGTATATGTCACACCGTCCAATGGCATCCCACATCTGCCGATAAACGAGCAACGCGGACCCCATCCCCTCTCCATCCACAGTCACACTCTCAGCTGGGAGATTCGACACGGTCCTAACAATATCGCACAGCTCCCCGGACGGAATCAGACCCAGCTCGAGAGCACGAACAATCGTGTCCAACAAAGCTTGGCGTCCCGGTTGATCCGTCGCGGACGACACCAGGTGCTCCGCTACGCTTTGGTAGTTCCCTGCCCCCCGGATATTCAGAAACGGGTCATCGAGAAACATAAGAAGCTCATCGGTGGACACCTGTCCAATGGCCGAGCGCGACAACAGCCGGCCAAATATCAACTGACTGCATTCAGGCTCCCGCATGAGATCGATGCGCAGCTGATGCACGATATTCCTAACATCCGCGACCGTCCGGCACGTATCTATACGAGCGACCAACGCTTCCCCTGTCGAGAGTAGATCAGGCGTACCCGGTCCCACCGGCCAACTCGGAGGCGGGTCGAACCCGTGCGGATAGTGGACATCCTGATTATAAGAAGCGAAAGGATTATTCGACGAAAAGTCAAACTGGCGAGGATGCGACCCTATAACAAAAAGTTAACACCCGAAACCAACCCAGCAAAGCAGATCCATCCAGATCCAATCTCACCTCGCGGCTGCTGCGACGCCGTCCCCGTCCGCCCTTTACTATCCGTCGTCCACTTCATATGATCGCGCCCATTGCGCCCGGACAAACAAGCAATATCATCCAGCGGCCCGGGCCCCGCAACGCCTGCCAGCGCCGTATTCCTCCTCTTCGCCAGCCGTCTCCTCGCCTCCAGCGGGCCCGGCACCCGGCTCTCGTACCGGCGCTGCTGGCCGTTTGCGAACCGGCGGAACGTCGACGCTAGGAAGTCCTCGCTTATCCACACATGGTCGACGAGGGTCCGTGAAGGTGGCTGAATCGCATGCCTATAGGCATGTCTCCCGAGAGACATGAGGCAATTGGGTGCATGCAGGCGCAATTGAGGGGTCTGGGCCTGTTAGAGGTGGCAGATTAAAAAGCGCGGAGCTGAGCTGCGCTGCGGATGTTTGGAGGTTGGAGGTGGGGATGACTAAGCGGTGGACATGGAGTTGTGCAGTGCAGTGCATTAACCAAGATGGACTAGCGTCATTGCATAATTTGTGCCAGGCCGTGAGGATGTTTGAGCCTCTGCTGCTGTGTCAACGTCTAGAGCTTGGTTTTGTTTGTGTATTCTACGTGCGTGTCAATATGAATTAAATATTACTTGGTGCAGATTGACTGGGTCTTCTTACTCGTCTGTCTACATAAACAGCTATTATAAATGGCAGATTCGGAATGAGAAGCGAAGTCTCTATAGACAAACTTGCGTCCAGATGAGTACAACTCCATTCAGCCTATATACTGCACGCCTTCGAAACACCAAACTCTCCCCAACAGTGGTATCTTATGCTAATGTGAAACAGCCTAAAGCGACGACAAAAGTGCATACATATATAAGAAAGAGAAACGTGAGGCGATCAGATCACGGAACCTGCTCCCCTGGCCGGGGTTTTCGCCCCGTCACCACATAAGAGTTCAGGTAGGCATGCACATTGCGGTTCTGGATGCTCTTCCGTACGTCGACCAGGAAGACCTCAATCTCGGGTTTTGACCACCCCAGCAATGCGAATGGTTTATATGAGTATCCGGATAGTGCCTCGAGGCAGTTCGTCTCGCTCCACGCCCCGATCCGCTTGAGATGCGGGTCGTCCGGCCAGGGGTTGAGCGGGACTTTGGAAATTCGCTGCTGGACGTCGACGAAGCCCACCTCCCGCATCCAGCGGGCCATCCGGTGCGCTACTCGGAATGACCGTGGGGGGTCGGCCATCTGGGCAGCGCGGATGTTTAAGTCGCACCAGTCGTGGAAGGCGTAGTCGCTGAAGCTCTCTGGGTTCTCGGGTGGCATGGTGCCGTCGTCGCACTGTGGCCGGGGGTCGAACTCATGGCACTCGACGTAGCCGCCCGGCCGGACGTGTTTCATGGTCTGGCGTAACATCTCTTTGAATGATGACAGGGCACCGAGCAGGTGGCCGACACGGATATAATCGAAGTAGTCGGGTTCCCACAGCCAATCTTCCTCGGTGGCGTCGTCGATGAAGAAGTGGACGTTGGGGGGCACCTCGGTCGGCTGGACAGGGGACAGATCAGTGCCTATGATTTCGGCTTGTGGGAAGAGGGATGCTGTGCATTGGACAAGTGAGAGTCAGAAAACTGTACATGGTACGGTAGTAAGGGGGGAGGGGGCAGCGTGAGTACCTACCCATCTCGATGGGCCATATCCCAGAGCCGGTCCCGACGTCCAGGATTCGTCGGGGGCTCTGTATAGGAGCGAAGAATAACCGTCCGTCGTTGACGATCTTGAGCATGTGGTGCTGCAGGTCCAGACGGTCCAGTTCCTTCTCGTCATTTGGATACGGGTATGCTGGTGATCAGGTCAGACAAGATGCTGGAGACAGTCCTAGGCAGGTAGGGCAAAACATACAGCCTTCGTGGTATTTATGATATCGCCGTCCATTTTCTATGGGATAGTCGGTCACACTGTCAGTCAAAGACTGCGTGTCTCTGCTCCAGTAGTCAGTGATCTGTCGGAAGATAACAACAACCACCACGATCATATATGATCGTCACAGGAAGCTTACTGTTCTTGACCAGTATCCTGAGACATTGTCCGTCAGCTTGATTCCCACCCTCGTATATCTAGATCCAGGACTGGGGGCAAAAAGGTTGGGTTGAGAGACGGGCAGGTAAATCGTGAAGAACCGGGCCGTGGAATCCAAGGCCCACAAATAGAACTGGGGGAAAAGGGAAAGCCACTTACAGCCGACTTCGCACCCATCGTATCCAGATCGTTGGAGCCAATTTTCGTGTGGGGAGGATACCGAGTCCGCTCAGGAGGGTCGTCGCCACACCTTATAATGACAATCTGCACGGGTTGACACGATAAAAAAAGAAATCAAGAAACCACGAAGAACAAAAATAGAAGATAAAAAAAAATAGAAAAGTCAAAATATTTACAAGAATCCAAACAGGTCAGGGATACGATTACAATTTTCTCACACTCTGTTGACGATGATCACAGATTGACCGGATCTGAAGACTCTGGGAGACCCGACGTACTGGAAAATGGTCTAGGACTTAAGAAAGACGGGAAGTATAACTAGTAGTTAATACTTGCTTGGGCTCGGCAGTAGAAAGGGCAGGTTGACAGGGGCGGTATACGCTACTGGGGAGGTCGAATAGTATGATGGGAAGGGGACTTGGGGAGTCATCGTTGCCTTTTTATTTGTTTTATTTGATTTTATTTTATAAAATTATACTACTATTTTATTTTCTTCTATTTCTTGCCTGACTCTCAGTATCAAATCCCAACCATCTATATTCTGTATTTGTGTATTTCAGTTATTCTATAATCAAGAACTAGTCTAGTAATCACATTTGATTATTTTTGATCTTTTTT